GGAAGAACAATGAAAACGCAATATTTTAATGTTTTACTTCTGATACTAGAATCTTTTTCTTAACATGTTTATCTTCCTTTTATTTCTTCTATTTTTCTCTAGACACAAGCATGAAAATATCAAAAAGGCTTCTAATCTTATCACATGGACAGCATTATAAGAAAGGAATTTTTTTATAAATAAAGAAATTGAAAATTGACAATTTAAAAGATTCATCTAATAATTCAAAAAGTTTTGACATTTCTAGATTTTGTTGCTGTCTGTGTCACTAAATTCTAAAAACTCTGCCACAATAGCTCTATAACCAGCCCTTACCATATATATTTCATATTTCTTCTGAATGCTCATATTACTAAAGAAATGAAATTAGCCACTTTTTCTATACATTCTAAATACATATAGTGTTTTTAAGAATAACAGAAATCCTTAACTAAATCCAAAACTTCTAAAATGAAAAGGAAACATGTTGAAGAAAGAAACAGAATACACAAACACAGGAACAGAAAATTATTCTTCAAAGATATGTGCAGTCATTATTATGTAAATTATCCAATTGTTTACGATTTCAGCCTTTACTATATTTTTGCATTTCTATCTCCTCATATGATAGAGTTACTAAGCCAGATTAAAGTAAAATTAAATTGTATAATCTTTGACCACTAGTCCACATTTTTAGTTTGAATTTGACTGTTCTTGTTTAATTACGTCACCATGAGCTGTAATTGATTTTGTTAGCATCAGAACATGCATTTATGTTCTAAGTTCTTTTTAAATAAGAGGCTTCTTTAAACCTTTGTCTGATAATATAGTTACTTTCAGACATAGCAATAATTTGCTTCATGTCTGTTGGGGGTTTGTGACTGTTTTTCTTTTACCAGATCAAGTAAAGCCTTATAGGTGCATTGTGGAGAGGTTGACAAGTTAGGAGATAAAGCATGCAGAAACTAGCGAGAGCACTGGTTTGAATATTGAGACAAATCTCTAATTGTTAGAAAAGATGCTTAAAGAGAAGGAAATTGATGTAAACTAGCCAAAATGTTTGGGAAGGCTTCAGATTAAAATGACGGATAAATATTTTGTTGAATGTTGTTGTTACAAACATAAATGTTTTGTAGCTTTTAATGTGTAATTATTCTAATACCATTTAAGAATCAGTGTCATAAATTGCATGTATTTTAAACTGTGAAATTTTATTAGATTTTGATTTTAATAGGGCTTTTTTAACAAATATTGTTAAAAAAATAAAATTTAATAGTGGCCATGTAAATCCATAATGATTTACCTATTTTAATTATTTATAACTAACTGCTTACCCTTAAAAATTATCTCTACATATTAAAGCAAGTTATTGCCTTTCATTAATATTCACTGTGGTCACAAGATAAAACACAAAAATGTAGAAATTCAGGTCAAACTTATTCTTTGCATCTAGTGAGACTTAAAATAATACAAAACAACTTATTACCTCTGGTGCTTTAATGGCTTATTGGATTGGAACCTAAAAGTATATTAACTGAGTTACAACCCATGGAACTCTACACAAAGTCACGACACTAACTGCATCAAACAGAGCCTGACTAACTTTCAACACTTGCCAACCGTGCCTACATCAGGCCTTTCAGGTTTGTTCTAATCAGCAGGTCTCTCTCTAGTCAAGCAGCAGCGGTAATAACATCTAGTCTTTTGTTATGAATCATGCTGATTATGATCTTACTTTTCATTTTAGCCAATGCCGTTTGACATAAAATCTACCTGCTATTTACCAAACCTCTAGACCAGTGGTTCTCAACCTTTTGACTAACGTGTACCATCTAAACAAAAATTGAAAACCTTTTTAGTACCACCGCTACAAAGTACTACTACCACCACTCTTGAAAAGATCACATAAATTTACGAGTGTTAGAGAAAAAACTCAATCAGTTTGTTAGGATTTTAATTTTTTAAATAAATAGTTAAAAATACTTTGCTTCTTTGTGTACCACTTATTTTTTCTTGCGTACCACCAGTAGTACACATACCACTGGTTGAGAACCTCTGCTCTAGACTGACCAAATATGTGACAAAATGAGACATAAAAAAATCAACATAAAGCTAACTATTAGTAAAACGTAAATGTCACTTATCTTCTTTCAAATATGTCCAACCTATTACAGTCAAAAGTCTTTAATCCGGGCTCGTCGGGACTTCGGCGATTCCGGATTATCGGTTTTTCCGGTTTATAGATCATCAGTTTAAATCTGGTAAGATGGCATGCAGAAATTATGAAATTAAAAATATGAAACCGTAATTTATGAAATAAAGAGCAATTATGATCTAAAGGGTATCAAAATTTACAAAAAAAAAAATCTGATATGTACACCACATGACTTCCTTGTACGGAATATTAAATTATACGCATTTTTTCTTGCATTTTATTTAAACTTATTAGATTGAATTAAACCTACTTCACCGACAGTGCATAAACCACAATAGAATAAATGCATTCTTTAAAATTCACTTTGTTTACCATAGCGACACTCTGGCGCTAGGTTTACTTAACAGTATTATATTTCATTCATATTATAACTCAGAATGCACAAAAATGTATATCATTTAAAGAATTATCTAATCGTTGCCACATGTTCTATTCAAATACTATAATAAAGCTAGAACTATGTATAAAAGAAATTAAGCAAACAAAACAAAAAAGAAACAGTTTTTCACAGACGATTGAGTATTTCTCATTTAATTAATTCAGTTCCTACTTCGCGAGAAGGCAAAAATACATAAAAACTCAAAAATATCTATATTAAAAATTACGAAGTAAATCTCAAACGCTTATTTCCTCGAAAAAATTCCAGAAAGAAAGAATTAAGCATGATTTAATTGGCAATAATAAATGAATGCGTTATCTTTGTTGTTGCGAAGCTAAGTTTCTCTAGATTGGCAACAAATCCACTAGTCTCCTGTTTCAAATGTAAATATCAATGGCCACCATTAAAAACAGGCTTAGCGGCAATTAAACAACTTTAAAATTGCTGATAATTCTAAAAATATTGCACACAGATTTACTAAAGGCATAAAAATCCTTAACCAGAAGATAAAAACAACATAATTCAATCATTTTTAAAGCAAAAAAAATGTACAATTTACAAAAAACATATAAGAGTAAAGAAACTGAGATCACTGAGCCGGGTAACAGAGTGGATATATATATAAATATATTTATATACGTTTGGTGCGGCCGATTGCAACGAAAATACGAGGTGCACATCTACATGTTATAGCAGTCCTATATACAAAATTTCAACGTTCTGAGGCTACTCATTTTTGAGTTATGCGAGATACGTAACATACGTTCGTACAGATGCCACAAAACATTCACTTCAGAATTAATTTTAAAGCAGTTTTATAATTTTTTTGAAGGAAAAGAGTATTTTATTCTGTCCTTACATACAGATATCACGCAAAAACATCGTTAAATTGCATTCGATAACGGTCAAAATGGATATTTTCGTTGAAATATGCTGCCTGAAACTTTTCGCGATTACAATACTTCCTTTTTACTTGGTACAAGGAAGGAAAAAGCTTAATATTTATTTGTTTACTTTATTAAACATTTCTTTAAATGCGCGCTTACATAAAGCATACATTACGCATAGTCGAAATTAGAAAATTGCAAGCAGAAAACTATTTGATGTGTATTTGTGATATTTATAACGACAAGGAATTTGATTTAAATTGTATCAAAGACGGAGTACATCGAGATGAAATACTACATTTAGTAAGGAATTATAAGCCGAATAAAATAAAAACATCGGCCCTGAAGATAAGGATAGTGCTGACAGTTCAACTTCCAGTTCATTGCGTGCTGCAACTTCTCCCCTTCTTTTTTCTTATGTCATATACAGTTGACTTTTTATACTCCTCACATAATTTTGAGATGGGTATATCTTTATCCATTTTCTGCAGCAATTCCACTTTTTGTTTGATGGACATCGAAACATGCTTTCACTTTATAGATCCTCTGCCAGCTCTAGAATTGGAAATTCTTTTTCACATAATCGAAAGTTCAAGCTTACTTTTATAAAATTGCTCTAACAGTCTGCAAAAAATAAATAATAATCCGGATCTAATTAGAGGATTAAGGAACAACAAAATCTGCAACATTAACTGAAATAGATAATTAGATAATTTTAGCTTAGCTTATACCGTCCGTTATACATTAAACGAGCATGCGTAAACGCATTATGCTTTTATGCATGCGCAGAAAGTTTGCAGCTTTGAGCTCCGGATTAAAGACTTTTGACTGTATAAGTGTAAAATATTTAATGCTACTTGATAAACTGCATGAAGTTTTATTTTATTCTCAAACTTATTAATAATTATGTTAATTAATTCATGTAATAATGCATACTACTTAGGGATCTGTTTTATTTTTAAGATGGTATTACAAAAGTGAAATTCAGGCATAGAATAATATTTTTAATTGAATTTATTCAGTTCCTATTTGCTCATAGCTCCTTAATTTTTTCATTAATGGTCCTTAAAAGTCCTTAATTTCCGTGTGCAGAAACGTGTATGAACCCTGATTAATTGTCCTTAAAAGGCCTTAATTTCCATCCTTAATTGCAAACCCTGGATATAGAAAAATCATACATGCACCATATAAGAAAAATAAGTTGTATTGCATAAGAATAGTAACACCATACATAAGCGCATACAAAATAATTTTTATTGTCTGCATTCATAAAATTTTATGGCACCCTTCAAGAATATCGCGACACATTAGTTGAGAATCATTGGAATAGAAGCAGTTTCTTTTACAGCATTGGGAATTCTTTCGCTGCCCTTCAAAATTGCCGATAATGTGAAATGAAGTATCTTCAAATTACAGGCATTCATTCTTTTTTTCCTGCTTTCATATCATTTAATATTTCTCCTTTTTATGTCTTAATTAGCTGTCTTTCATTATTTTTTAGCTTGTTGATTGTTACATGATGTTAATTTTTTCTTTTTAGATTCATTAGTCACAGACACGAGGATTAAACACAAAGGAAACTCTGAGGCACATGGAATGACTGAATGGCAAGGTGTGTGCAATGTGTATTGTTGCCAAATGTGTATAATTTCTGAATTCAAATCTCTTGATTCAATGCTTGATTTTAATTTAATTTTTTTTTCCCAAATAAGCATTATTGGTAGAGTATGATGTTACAAAAAAGCTTGTAATGTCAATCAGACATAAGCTAATTGGTCTAAAGTAGACAACCACCCATAGTTGGAACCAAAAAGCTATTCATTTGAGTCAAAATGCATTTTCAGTTTTTTAAGCTATTCGAAATGTAATTCCTGTTTCTTTTTTAAAAATAGACTTGCATCTTAAGGGCATTGATCATCTTATTTCAACCTTAAGGGCACTGATCATCTTTCTTCAACCAAAACTTCTTCAATCTTTCATTTTGCTCATATGGAATAGTGGTTAGTGACTCTGACTACAATATTGAAGGGCCTAGCTTCAATTCCTGGAGAAGACATGGATGTTTGTAAATGTATAGTGTCTTTGGGGCATGAAGCTGTTCTAAATTTGTGAGCCAAAAGTTCTCTTGTGTTGTTTTGTAGTAGGAGACTCAGGCTTATCCCCCGTAGTGCTCTTTCAAAATTGGGATGAAATTGGATAAAATTGCAGTCACCTGTATGGTACTCAATAGGGTTCTTGCCAACAACAGACTTAACCTTGTACTCACTGCCATGTTAAATTTCATGGACATTGTTCTGATGATGAGGTCAGACAAGTGAGATAAGTCACAACATACATAGATACCCTTGCTTTTCGTATGTAACTTTTGGCAAATAATTTTACATGAGACTGATGAAGCACAGCTGATATAATTTTCATCCCTGAATAATGTTGTTTTTCAGTATTTCTGTCTCGGACTTGTGTTATTTTCTATTATTGATGTTATAACAAGAAATTTCTATTGCCTCTGGTCTTTTGGTATTTTATTTTAGATTCTTTGCCATTTTATATTACCTTATCCTTTTAAATATTTATCTTAGTTTCTTTGATCTTTAAATCGTTGAAGTTATGTGAAAGCTGAAAATGAAAGGGGTCTTCTACCCTCTCTTTCCCTACTCTCAACCTCTCGAAAGGACTTTCGGCTCATTTCATATTTAGAGTGTCCCCAGCCGCACAGACACTATACATTTACAAACATCCATGTCTTCTCTGGGATTTGAAAATCTGGGCCTTTTGGCACGGCGATCAGCAACGCTGACCACTATACTGTTTGGGTGTCTTCTTTATGAATGGAATTAGTATAGTAGATGGCATGTAGATCCTAATATCGTAAAGGATTTTAATAATTAGTAAATTTCTTTTAGAAAAAATATGAATAACACAAAAAAAGTTCCAATCAAAGATATCCGTACAGTTCATTATATCTGATTTTCATGGTCTTGGATGTTCAATATGGCAGCTAAAATTTACATTAAATGTATAGGAAACTGCATGGAACCAAAAGGTTTGTTCATTACACCAAGGCTTGACTGTAATGTACCCTATCTATAATATTCTGACTGTAATGTCCTATACTTCTGTTTTATTCTTAGAATTTATTTCAAAAAGGAAGATACTCCATAGATATACTGTTTTCATTTCATAATTATATTCTTTATTTATTATTATTATTATTTCATTGATGATCCTTAAAAATCCTTAATGTCCATGGGTAGACATCTTTATATATTTTGAAGAGAGTAATAAATAGTCATGATATGGTTAGAAATAAACTTTAATTTTTATGATGTTGTATCTGCCAAAGCAGTGCCATAAATATACATACACTATACACTCTATGTTCCTTAATATGCATTTTTTTTTTTTTTTTTTTTTTTTTTTTTTTCTGAATGGCAACAGTTAGTAAGTCAAGTAAATAAACTTATAACGTACATTTGTGGTTTGCTTATTTCTTTCTACTATATTTCAAACATATATCTGCCATTTAAATTATTTCTATCACGTTATCAGCACGATATGCTCTAAAGAAGTTTATTTGGCAGAAATGAAGAAGAAATTTTGATTTTACCAAAAGAAAAAGAAGCAACATTCACAGCGATGCCGAAGCTAAGCCTAACACGTTAAAAACGATCTGATGGAAGAAATTAAGATTTCAGAAACTCAACAGAGATAATTACAATGCTTGGAAAATCCGAGCACGAGCTGTTTTAGTTAAGAAATTGTTGGGAAGCTTTTGATCCATGTTACGGTGCTGAATTAAAGAATGACAAAAAGAAAATTAAGGAGAAAGCCTTAACTTTTCTATACTTAGTGGCTGAAGACCAGTTCTTAGATGACATCGCTGACTGTGAAAGAGCGAAAGAAGCATGGGATACTTTAAAAGACATCCATACAAAATTCGGACTCTTGCATTCTCTACAGCTTTTAAAAGAATTTTTTAATGTGACTTTAAAACCAGGAGAAAGCGTCAGTTCTTATCTAAGTTGATTGATGGACCTTCACCGAAAGGTATCATCTTGCGGACAGAGAAGTTGCCCTCGTTATGTTAATGGGTTTGCCCGAGGAATAGTAAGGACTTATCCTCAATTTAGAACGTGAAGAAGGTACATTGTCAACTCAAATCATAAAATCGCGTCTCATCGTTGAAGAGAAAAAATTACTGCACTACACATAAGTGAAAACAGAAGTTGCTACCAGTAAGGTCATGGGAGCGAAAGCTCTCAAAGCTCGAGATAAGTACAGAACTAAAACTATGCAGCTATTACAGAAACAGCATAAAAATACTGACAGAAAACTCGTTGCTTTTCTTGTGAGAAGTGGGGTCATATTGTCAAAAATTGCTCTGCTGCTAAAACCCCACGTGCAAAAATGGTTTCTAATGAAGTATTATCGAGCACTGTTTGTTGATTCTTGCGGTGGGAAGCCTGCCTGTGATAGGTACCTTTATAGCAGAACCACTGAACATATGTGTTCTCAAGAGCAGAAATTTATGAATTTAGCTTTTAGCTTCAGTGAAATCACGAGTTGAGATAATCAATTGTGAAAAAAATTGAAGTCTCTGGCATGGGAGACATTGTTTTGAATCCTGTCAGAGAATGTGGGAAAGATGCTATTCATCTAGCAAATGTTCTGTGTCCCTGATCTTGATAGTAACCTTCTTTCAGTGGGAAGAATAGAAGAAATGGGAATGACTGTTTCTTTTGAGAGGCGCAAAGGAATCATAAAGATCCAAGACAACAAGATAAGGTAATTCTCACTGCACTGTATGGAAAATTATACAAAATTGAAGAGAAGCAAACACACAAAATATACCTTTCCAGACATGACGAAATTATGCATCGAAGATTAGGACATTTCCACCATGATGCAGATAAGAAACTTATGAAAAGGTATGATTCGAATATGACGTGTGAAGAAATCCAAGAAAAGGGGACTGTTTGCTCAACTTCAGTTTTGGGGAAAATGAAGAAGACTCCATTTCCCAAGGAAAAAGCCGAACATTCAACTAGATTACTTCAGTTGATACATACTGACATAATTGGACCTATCGCACCTACATCAAAAGGTGGATCAAAGTATGTCATTACCTTTGTTGATGACTACTCAAGGTATCCTGTGGTTAAAGCTATGAAATCTAAAGATCGAGTCCTTGAAAAATTCATGGAATACAAAACAAATATTGAAAATTTCCATGGACTCAAAATCACTACTCTACCGAAGCGACAATGGAGGGGAATATATCAACAATGAATTTGATTGATTTTCCTAACTAAAATTGGAATAACAAGACAACTCACAGTTCCCCTGGACACTACAACAAAATGGAGTTGCAGAAAAAATGAACCATACTCTATTTGATGTGACTACATGTCTTCTCCTAGGTTCCAACATCCCATAAGAATTGTGGGCAGATGCTGTGACTACTGCCTGTTATTTGCACAACAAGTGTCCATCAAAAGCTACCAAAGGAAACATACTTAAAGAACTCTGGACCAAGAAGCCTGTGCAAATTAGTCACCTGAGAATATTTGGCTGTCGAGCTTTTGCTCAAATTGATAAAATGCTACAGAAAGGGAAGCATGCTCAAGAATACGTGTTTATAGGATATCCCGAAGGATACAACCTATGGAATGCAGTGAAAGATAAGTTTTTAGTGAGCAGAAATGTTAAGTTTGATGAGACTGTTTTTCCACTGAGGAGAAGCCAGACAGCTACTCAAGCAAAGAAGGAAAATGAAGTGACCTTTAACTGAAATCATGAATACAATTCTGACAGTGAAGTAAATGTTGTTCCATTACAAGTACCCATCAGTTGCACCACCATTGGAGTCGAAAATGGTGAAACCCCATTAAATGACACTGCAGAAGAAATTGAAGACACAGAATCAGTATTCCTGGAAGATTATGATAGCAGTAAGGAAGATCCTATTGGAATCAGAAAAAGCACTAGAGAAAGGAGACCTAAGACTTACTATGGGGATCCAGTGTTATATAAAGCTGTTTGTGAAGAACAACTTGCCATCAAAATCTGTAAGAAGCCAACAAGTGTAAAAGAAGCTATGAATTCTCCAAATGCAGAGATGTGGAAAGAAGCCATGAAGGAAGAATTGTGTAATTTGTACAAAAACCAGACATGGGAATTGGTTCCAAAGCCAGCTGGCATCAAACTCATAGGATGATAGTTGGTATTCAAAGAAAAGCAAAATGCAGAAGGAGGAATAATCATATTTAAAGCTCGATTAGTAGCTAAAGGCTACTCACAAGTCCCTGGTAAAGATTTTTCAGAGACTTTCTTCCCTGTTTTAAAGATAAAATCTATAAGAATCCTTCTAGCTCTTGCTGTCAAGTTAAAATGGAAATTCATCAAATGGACATCACTGCTGCCTATCTAAATGGCTTACTCAAGGAAGACATATACATGTCACAACCTGAAGGATCTCAAGAGCGAGGTAAAGAGGATCTAGTGTGCCATTTAAAAAAAAGCTTGAATGGCTTAAAGTAATCAGGAAGACAATGGAATGAATCCTTTGATACTTTCTTGAAGAATTGTGGACTGTCATGCTCAAAATGTGATCTATGCATTTATTAGCATCCAAACAAAGCATTACATCTTGGTATCTATGTATGATGACATGTTAATTGTTGGGATCCTAAAGGAAATAACCACATTTAAGCATAAAGTTGTGCAAAGATCCAAAGCGAGAGACCTTGGTGAAGCAAATGAAATACTGTCTGAAGATCCAGAAGCATACTGATGGCACCTTAACATTAGATGAAACAGCTTATATAGAAGAAATTCTGGAAGAGTTCAAATTAGAATCAGTTAATGGAGCATCAACACCCATGGATCCCACTGTAAAACACCAAAAGGTAGATGATAAAGAGTGGAGAAGTATAAAAGCAGAAAGGGACCAAATTCCATATAGGCAAGCCATAGGTAGCGTATTATATCTTGCTTGCGGAACACGTCGTGATATGCTCATATTTAGTGCAACCTATATGAGCCTGTTTAATGAGAGGCCATCTGAATTTCACTGGAGGAGTGTTAAACATCTTTTCCAGTATCTCAAAGAGCTCAAACATCTATCCCTTACATTCAGAAAGACAGGAAGAGCCCTTGAAACATTCTCTGATGCTGACTGGGGTGCTGACAAAATCGACAGAAAGTCCTTCAGTGGATATGTTCTGATCTTAGGTGGTCCTGCAATATCTTGGTGCAGTAAGAAGCAGTCTACTGTTGCCTTATCGTCGGCTGAAGCCGAATATGTGGCTGCTGGCCTTGCTACAAAGGAAGTTTTATGGATAAGGGGATTGTTGAAGGAACTGGGGATGTTGAAGTTTATCCCATCGCCCTCAGTTATAAAAGTAGACAACCAAGCGGCTATGTTCATCGCACAAAACCAAACTACATCTGAACGCAGTAAGCACATGGACATCAAGCATCACTTCATCTGGGACTATACTGAACAAGGTGTGATTAAATTGGAATATGTAAATTCCATGGAAAACGTAGCTGATCTTCTGACTAAAAACATTCAAAGGCAGTGTTAACAAACTTGAGAAAATATTTAGGTTTTCACAAATACTCCTCCCATGTGTGATATAAAAAGTGCCTGTGTCTGCTCATCACACTTGTAAATTTCTTTTACTTTTTTTTTTTTTTTTTTTTTTTTTTTTTTTTAAATCCCTCATTTTTTGTAGGTTGTATTTAATCAATTTAGGTGAAGTTTTTTTTAAGGCATACTTTGCAAGGAGGAGTCTTAGAAATAAACTTTATTTTATTTTTATGATGATGTATCTATCAAAGCAATGCTATAAATATATGGTCTATGTTCCTTAATTCCTTAGCCCTCTGAACATTATGACCGGCTTGATCCGGTCATCAGAAGTTTTGCTATTTGGCATATATTAGATTATAATTTAAGATATTTTGCTTTCTTACTTTCTGTAATGATGTAAATATTATCTTAATGAATATAAGTTTATGAAAATACAGACTAAAATAAGTAATTATACATACTCAATTAATAATTAATAATATTTCTACTATATTTCAAACATATATCTGCCATTTAAGTGATTTCTATCAGATATATGGCATATAATTAGCAAAGGTTTATGGCCACTACCATTTTCTATATTGAGTTAATTATAAATAAAATATTATAAATATATAATTAATATAAAATTAGGCATGAGGCCATGGTTATAAAGGATAAAATGTGGAAGGATTACTTTATTAAGAATAATTGATACTTATATGAATTATGATCTAACAAACTGATATTAAAAAAAAGTAATAGAAACCCAACATTATATGAGCCATTTTTTTTCCCTTCCCTTGCGATCATGTTAACAAACACAAACTGTTATATGAAAGAGAAGTACTTATTCATGCAAGAGAGAGGTTATCAAATGTGTGTAAATCATATATTCTAAAGTTCTAGTCTTGATACATATGCAAATTACTTCCAATGTTTTTCATAGCCTGTTTTGCATAAATTTTGTCACATCTTAGAAAAGATATTTTTTTTTATAGTTTTTAATTAAAAGTTTAAAGGACCATTCATGTATTACTGTTAGGGATTGGAAGTGATAATTGTGTTGTAGAACTTTCCTCAACATAGTGAATGCTTCGTCTGAATGAACAACATAAGCTTTAATTTATCTTCATCTGAAACATAATAGGATACAAGTAAAAGTGGGTTGGATGCCAGAATTTCACCATTGGTTGTGCAGGTACAGTCCCGCCATACAAACTGGGCAGTTTTGCAAAAAAAAAAATTTTGAAGAACACCCTGGCGATGGTCCAAGGTTCTCCTACCCCTCTTTTCCTACCAGCAACCTCTCAAGAGGACTTTTGGCTTGCCATGCATTTTGAGTGTCTGCTTTCCAACCAGACACTATACAATTAAAGACATCCATGCCTTCTCTGGTATTCAGCCTGTCAGTGGTCAGTGCAGCAATCAAGCATCACTGTATCGGCTGGCTAGCCAATATAACAAGATAGATGAACACATGTGTGTCAGCCTTTGACATTAAAAAAAGGACAAGAGGAGATAGATAGATTTTTAACTTGACCATGATAACACTGCTGCATGATGTCTGTTGGCTTCATTTAGCATTATATCCGTTGGCAGGCACTTGGCTTAGATTCGATGGGTAGATAATAGATACTAACTGGGACTTGAATCTCACATTCTAATGGACCCCTGCCATTTAGGTCTTCAACAGTTACATTCAATGCATCACAATGGAGAGGACTACAATTACAATGATAGCCACCTCAGTGTAACTTCCTACTAAAAATTAAATATTATTTGCTCTCCTTTTTAGCGCTGTGTAGATGTAAGGGGGAATGCAAATTTTCCAATAGTTATTAATACTCATAAAATATTTTTTCATCATTTCAGCTTTTTTTTTAAGAAAAATATATATTTTATTTTACAGCTGAAATGGAAAGTGAATCTGACAGTATTACAGATGTGCTTGAAATGCAAGATATATCTACAGTGTGTAGTAATTCAGGTAATTAATTTTATATGTGATAACTGCAATACCTTTAAAAAGAAAAAGAAAAAAAAAAAAATTATCTTTTCAGTTTAGTTCATTTCATATTTAAATAAATTCTATTTTACCACCCCCCCAAAAAAAAAAGCTTTTGGGGCATTACAAAATATATGCCAGATTTACCTACTGTAATTATTAATTCAGATAATGAATTTTTCATGCAGTGTTTCATGAGGTAATAATTGAAGCACTGACAGATAAAAAAAAATATGTAAATCAAAATTCTATTTTGAGTTTGCAGTAGTGCCTTAATTTCTCAATTTTCAGTTTGATATTTCCCCTTTCTGTCCTTTACATAATGCTGTATGATGTAATTTATTGGGAATTGAAAGTTAAAATTAAGCAAACGAAAACTTTTTTCATGTTCAAATAGACCTTCATCTTGTATTCCGTCACATTTTGTTTCTGCCAACTTGCATCTGTGGCTGCTCTCTTAAAAAAGTGCCAGACACTCAAGAAGTGGTGCATTTATTGCTCTAGTTTAGTTTGTGTTGGCTAATTGAAATTTATCTGTTTGCTTCTCGAGCTCTAATAGGATTCTTAAAGAAAATTAAATAGATTTTAAAGTTATTTTCTTCATTTCTGTTCTCAGTATTTTATAATAATATATGCATTTAATGGAGTGCATCCATAGACTATACTGTGAATATTTCATCAATAACATTTATCTGGTAATAAATGTTGAGTATTGAGCAACAGCCAGATATGATCATTTGAGCAAATACCTGACAAATTAGATATGTATAAAAAGAAAGGAGAAGCATATTTAAGAAAAGAAAAATTATTTTTTAATAAACTATCAGCTATTTTAAGCTTTTGTGTAAAAATTTACAATTTTGTTTACCCACTTGGTATAAGGATCAACATACTGAGGTCAAATCTAACTGTAGGTATTTGAAAATAAATTCAGTAAATACAGACTGAATTACAAGTGCACTTTTTTTCCCTTACATTCTTTTTTTTTTTTTCCATTCTAGGTCTTGTCTTGAAAATCTTTTATAGTATTTAAATTTAAAGCTCGGAATCGTAGGGCTTTTTTTTTGGGGGGGGGACATAGATAATCTAGTATTATCATATGCAGCAATTCATGATGTAGTAAATAAATGTTGCATTGCACACATATGGTAATTATTGCCTATCAGTCAAAATCTTCAGCCATGGTTGTTGAATTCTTAACTGTCTTTCAAATGCAAGGCGTTCATATTTGAAGGAACAGGAAGAAAACATGCATATGATTACTGCAATGAATTGATGTCACAACTGCAAGTATAAGATTAAAATTTAACTCCATGAATTTCTATGGATATATATATACCTTCGATGAGGAGGCCTTTTGTGACATGTAGATGTCTGTACAAAAATTTAATTCCTGAGTCTTGCAACACAGTTGTCAGGATCAACCCTGTGCCAGCTGTTAACTGCTGAATACATAAAGACAGTCACAATTTATCAAAGCAACAGTTGAAGTAAAATACATTACAAAGTCTCTAATCTAGACGTCCATTATCCGGAATGATCTATAATCCAGACCGCAAAGCCACAAACTTATGCATATGCGCTTAAAGCGTTTACGCATGCGCGTTTGATGCACGTGTCCGCTACGCATGTGCGTAAAGCTACTAAGCGTTTACCCATGCGCACTTCCGATAGTGAAGAAAGTAACAGAGAACGTTATTGAAAACAAAAAAATTTCGATTGACAAGTTAGTTGGTATTCTCGACAGACCAATTACAGGACTTGAACAGTGGAACTTTGTAACTGAACAAGAAGTTATGTCTGTTTATAGAATTAAAGCGAAAGTATTAGCACAAAAAACGAAGCAACTTAAACAGCTTACATTAATAGAAATGTTTACTAAAGTAAGCAAATAAATATTGAGCTTTTTTTTTTTTTTTTTTTTTTTTTTTTTTTTTTTTTTTTTAGATCATAATTGCTCTTTATTTCATAAATTACAGTTTCATATTTTTAATTGTATAATTTGTGCATGCCATCTTACCAGATTTAAATTGATGATCTATAATCCTGAAAAACCCCTAATCTGGAATCGCCGAAGTCCCGACGAGTTTGGATTATGGACTTTGTACTGTATTACTTGCAAGACAAAGTGTGCTTGAAAGTTTCAGCTCAGGCCTTTTAAGTTCTCCCGAACAGTTACAGCTAGCACTGTTAAAAATGAAATTTGAAAGTAAGAGAGTTACTGGGAGAAGTAATAGCAAGATGGTAAGCGATAGCTTAAAAAGCTCTGTCTTGAACTCAAGAACTCTGTGCTTCAGAATGTTAACTGATTTGCTTTCTGGTAGAAGATGAAAACAGAAATGAAAGTAAAAAGAGAATAATAAATTAAAAACTATGAAATCCTGTACAGATAAAATAGTTTGTTCAGTTGACTCGACAGCCTTTCCTGACCGCTGCTGTTGCTATAAGCCTTGTTCATACTGGAGTAAGAGCATCTTGTTTTTCATACACTGCCAAGGAAAAAAAATCGCAAACCTGCACCCTAAACTCACTATATATGATTAATGTGCAGAAAATGTTTATCGTCGGAGTGCCAGTGTAGCAAATATATATTCTATGCACAAAATATCAAATTACACCAGTTTTCATTTGGCGTGTAAATAAAACATTGCTTCATGAGTGAACACAAGTCTGGCCATGAATGCAGAACTATGCTGAACTGTCTTCTGGATGGAAGTTTTTAGTGCCTGCATTATGCCAAATTTGTAAGATCTGAACTGCAGAAGGTTGTACAACACAGGCCATAATTTTACTTATGTTATGTTTATTTATCTGTTGGCATGATGAAACTGACACTTCATCGCTAAATCACATGAATACCTTTCTTTATTCTATTATTGACCTGTGTTTGGTGGTTGATATGGTCATCCTAGGCTTTATCTTTTGAATAAGCAACCAGTCTCCTTAAACTGTTTCTTCCTCTTTATAATGTTGTGTGAGGATCTTCTTTAGCAGATTTGTGTTCGCTTACGTGTCAAACTATTACGCTACCAGCATATCAAGGACTCTAAAGAGACTACTATATTCTAAAGTATTCATTTATTTAATAAAACATCACTCAGGTATATAACATATAATTAATCTTAAATAAGCCTAACTACAGAAACATATTTACCTAATTCTATGACTTGCCCTGCTGCCACTCTCATGAAGCCAAACTAACAACAATTATTAGTGGCCAAAAAGTAAAAGTAATAAGTATTGTAAAATTATAAGTATAATTTAAGTGAAACATTAAAGGAAAGTAAGTACAAAATACAAACTACATTGTTTTGAAATCCAACAATTTGATCCAGAAATGTCTCTGAAGAACAATTAGTGATAGAGATTTTGCCTGTCACACAATGAATTATTTCACTAGAGCTGCTATTTTGAATACCATCGCCTTGAGTGGATTTTTTGGCGTTTTCAAATGATTTGTCAAAAGTTAGTGTTTGTTTTAGTTAAGAGTTTTATCATAACCATATCTGTTAAATATAATTATTACAGAAATCAAAAGTATGTTTTGTTTCTGTACAATTTATTTTTAATTAACTGATGTGTTTGTTAAATTGTGTCCAGAAAAGGAATTTGAAGATTCAAGAGTTTATCTATGTATTTCTCCAAATTTGATGTGTATCTTTTTAGACAGTGATGTATTTTTAAAATACATGCCCTTAAACTTGTTTTTCATGTAATGCGGATATCAAATTTTGCTTCAAGATACATATATATAAAGTATTGTAAATATCCGTGTTGTATACCAAATGACGATGTTACTAATTTTATTTCGAACTTACTCCATCTCAAAACCTATGCAGAACTGCGTAATGATCCATATGAACAATAGCAAAAGGTCTTCTGTGAAGTTTTACGGGATGTTATAGTCTTTGTTGCTTGCTACTTGTCACTTTAGCCCCTGAATATTAATTAAGGCTGGTCCTTTTAAGAAAGCTTTAAGATAATTAATTATATTTATCTAATTTAAGCGTTTGTTACTGTGGATCGCATTTTCAAACTGTGACCAAAATTCCTGAAACTGCTCGAAATTACCCATTCAAACGGTTCTACATGAAGTTTCAGCAAATTTATTCTTGCTCTGGTTCACTATTCAAAATAAGTGAAAAATTACTCTTCAATAACAAACCTGCCTTATTTCTATCTGAATTCTGGAGATAATTCTTAACTTTTGATTTCATGTAAATAATGCGCTCTGTATATTCCTGATTATTTTAGACTTCTGTTCCGAGACCTGATACTTGAGGAATTAAATTAGCAATTTTTAGATCAAACTTTATCTGTTCTGCTTTTTCTTGTAGACTGATCTCACATTTTTCTAAGGATTTTATGTCTGCAATATCTTGTTCCAGTAACTAAGATATTCTGTTAATTACTTGTGTTGTTATTCTCCTTAAAGTTTGCATTTCGGTTTCGCTTTATGTACAGCTTTCTTAATATTCTCATCCATAATATTAATTAATAATTTAATTCTATACTCTGTTAAAATTATCACAGGTATTTCAATATAATTATTCCACAGTTTGCACATATTCAAATTTTTGAAATCAAAACTTACCCCTTCTTCGATGTTCATGATACACGAATGATTCGATGAGCATTTTGCATCATAATCCCTCTTCTGAGATGCTAAAGATGTCAAAAGGTGTGAATTTTTCTTTCTTTCTGCAGGATGACTCATAGTATTTAACAAATTTGTTTATTACTACATTAATTATATACATATAGCTGTAAGTTGAGGAATTCTGGTCATATCGCTCGTGTTCTCTAGCCTTTAGATTACTTTTTTTACTATCCTGCACCCTCTATTGGCAGCTTTTCTACAATGCCATCTATCAACTGATTATAGTTGTATATATAAAAAATTTAAAAAACCAAGTTACCAAAATTTTAGCATCTATGTGGAATTTTGTAACCAAGCTACCAAAATTCCATATAGGCCAAACACATATATAAAATTTTACCAACCTGGCTGCAAAACTCAGTGCCATTTGTATCAGTACTCCCAAGAACTCTGATTTGTACTTTTGACAATTTTATACTGGTACATCTGTCTTTAAATTTTAGCCTTTGATTTACATCTAATTATGAAATGATATTCTAGTTCTGTGGTAATTTTTTCTAAACAAATTATGCTCCACTTTTTAAATCTATCCAACCTGCTATTGGAGCACACAAAGGCTGTTTCTTTAAAATGTCTGGAAATTTCATTGGCTTTTGTCTGAAGTATTTATCCTAATAATGACAGATTACAGCTTTTTGAATGGTGAACCATTTCAGCAGTTCTTCATCAACATATTTATGCTTAGCTTTTCTCAGTTTTTTTCCCTGTATCACACTTCTTTTCCATAAGCAAAAATTAGCAAGTACCAATTTTGCCAAATGCTACTGTCTGCAGATTTGGATAAACTGTAAGCAAATATCAGTTTGATTGCATCCACTTTGTATTTTTTGAATAATGTTCATCTTATTTTAAATAGCAAATGCTTTATGTTTACAGCTTGCCATGCAGATGGATTTTTGACTCGAAAAATTTCTTCAGTACAAAATCATCAAGAGTTAGGCAAAAAAATGAGATAAATTGTTCTTCTGAAAATATGAAAAAAGGGAGATAATTTCCTCGCTAATGCGTCTTATCCAATATGAAATGAAAATATACTTATTTCTCACAAAATATGTATTTTTGCAAAGCAAAGATTCAGTAACATTTCTAAAGAATAAACCTAAACTGATTATAGTTGTACAGATTATAGTTGTACAGATGACAGAACTTTGAGAGCATTTGTACTTAACATCAAACAAGGAATAACAAAATTTTCATTCCTTAAAAAATTAATCAGCTGTGTAGCCACTAGTTCATAAGAATGTATTCACTACTAATACTTTCCCTGAATAGTAAAAATTTTGAAATTTCCACTATATCATCAACATGGAACATAGCTCCAGTCAAAGAACTTGAATGGAATTGGAGACCCCATTCGCGCATTTTGCTTCAGCGCACATACACCATATAGTGTCTTACAATATGCTTACTGTATCCTAGTTCTCTTAGAATTGAGTGTCACACTTGTAGTCTTTCTTTATAACCCTGAGAAAAATTAGGGTGAAAATAAAATACAGTAATGTAAAGTTGTTTCGCTTTATGGATGAAATGTGCTTGATTTTAATGGTTAGTAATTTCTTCATTAAAATTTGTATTTGACTATATATAAATAGTGACATTTGACTATGCATTAAGTAATTGACTGAGGAGAATTTGTTTTATTCATGCTTCCTGTTCTTGTTTTACAATTCCATTTGCAGAAACTCTTGTGATATCTTTTAATGATTTTCAGAAAACGTGTGACTTGAGTAAGGAAGAATTTCAAAGTCTTATACAAAGCTTTAATATATTTACATAATGACTATTTCTCTATGAATTTTACTATATTTCCTTTTTTATATTAAACATATTTTAACATAATGCATGTTAGAAAAATATTCCTGAATAATCTTTCCTTTACATATCATTATTATTTAATATGGTGCATTTAAATAATTAATGTTATTTTATATGTTTCTTTATTTAACAGATACGTTGCCTAGGCAATATTTTCTTGAACAACAAATGAAAAGATTTGGAGCTTTCATGCAAGACGAACTCATTGCTTGTAATAACTTTCAGCAGTCTGAAAGGAAAATTGAAGAAAAGCAACCCAAAGAAAGATGCAAAGAATCCAAAAGAAAACGGCTGCCATTCAGAAAAGAATCATTCACAACACAATTAGGTAATAAATATTTTATTTTCTTCTGTGAACTTTTATTTCTTATTAAAATTTTAATTTAATACCATATCTTAAGTTTTATGCATTGAACTGTAGATTTATATTTCATGAATGTTTTAAATTTAAAATAATTTACCCCCCATTTTATATAAATATATGCATTTATATATATGTATATATAATATTTTTAGGTTTATTTATATATTAAGTTGTATGCTATATGTGTATATTATCCATAAATTCAATATTTTTGTTAATAAAAGAATAGAACACCTTTTCACAATTTATGCATGTTGTGTAGGTAGCAGCCTTTTTGCGGCTGACCCTCGTTGACCATACTTAAACTGTCAGTTTTGCAAAGTGTCAACGAACTGAATAGGTAAATAATAATAACAACAACAACAAAACCATCATTTTAAAAGTGTCATACCATCTGATAAGCAGTTATTTTTTATATGCAAAAAAAGCTATTTTTCCCAGTTCAGAGGTCAAAGCCATTTCAACCTCAGAAAGAAGGAGCTAATAGTGCATTGTCTGTCTCCCTCTTTTTTTTTACTCATTCATAAAATAACTGGATACGTATATTTGTGGGAAAATAAACAGATGGGCAGTTTTTGGCACACATGCTCAAGTTGTTTTCTTGGGTCTTTCCTGATTTTCTTTAGTTTGAAAGTTGAAACTTGACATACATTTCAGAAAATTTTATCATTTTCGGAGTGTTATATAAACAACATAAATTCATACTTAATAATTACAAATGAACACCATATTTGTGAAACAACTAGAGAAAAAGTTCATTCTGTGTTATGCGGTAGGTAACTGTGTGTATAAGTCACTTAACTGAACATATCAATCAATATTTTAACAATAACATACTAAGTATTGTGGGCAGTCATAGTGAAACATAAGAACAAAATATGTAAACAAATCAATAATTTCCAGGAAGTTGCATTGTGTTAAACAAAAAAGAAAAAAAAAACATTCTATGTTTAAGGTCCAGTGCAAAAGATTAATTACAATAAATACAACAGGAGTAATAAAATCAAACTTAACGTTTATTTTAAGGTAGGAAAAATATTATGATTACAAAACATAAAAAGAGAGTCATGACCTCACTAAACATTACAATTAAACGTGGTGGCTGGATCAATTAAAGAACTAATGTGAAAACAACAGAAAAGGATGACATACCCTTCTTTAACATATTAGGGATCCTTCATATATTTGAGATTTGTTAGCGAAACTTATTTCTCGGAGAAAAACTTGGGATAGTATCTGAAATTAGAAAACAAAAGGGGTTAGATTGACGAGACTCAACCAAGATATTGGTTCGGAGGCCAGGCTTCCCTCCTATTACTGCTTCCAACCAGCAGGACACAGGTCTTCCCTCCATAGGCCATCATGACAGCGTAAATTTTAGGATTTTAGAAATATAGGTGTTGCAGCCTCTCTTCAGTGTTGGTTAATTTACGTTGTACGTCTAAGATGGGGCTCCCTCCGAGCTGCTCGTCCAAGTAGTCATCTTATAAGTTCTCGTGAAATTTCTTTTTTCCGTCTCTCTTCTGTCGTCTCCGTCACTCTCCTCGTCTCCCGAAGCCTCTCGAAAAACACTGCGCAGCCGTTTTAGTAGCTGGCGCGTTTTTTGAAAACTTGGAGTAGATGGTGACTAGCAGGAAGCCAAAAAAAGGCAACCCACACTCTGGATCTTTACGGGAAAGGGCTTCCCGACTACCAAAAGGAGCTGTTTCTCGCCATTCCATCCATTTCATCGTTCAACTTCCAAGGCCACACCAATGTGTCGTCACAACTGCAGGCGGAAACAGGGGGAAAGAAACTAGCCTCGCTCCAGGGTCCCAGTCGATAATTCAGATCTTCTGTCTCAACGTGTATTTTCCCCCACCATAAGTATGCTGTAGAATATCACCCTGCTAGCCTGGTCAGCAAAACAGGGTCCCCTTTTCGTGAAACCCAGATGGTAAAACTATCAAGCACTTTCGCCCCACACACATGGTGGAACGCTTAGCAGAAAGGAATTTTGGGGTGCAAGTACAACTGCTGATAAGAATTTTTCCGCTGAAGGAAAGAGGGCAAGGAGGTGAAAATCTCTGAACTAAGTTAATACAAAATGACTTTGGGTAAATTAAAAAAAATGAAGTTTCTAATTACAAAACATTATAATTACATAATAAAAATGTCAGCACTGTAATAAATGTTTCCTCAGCCACCAATTGAGACTAAACACAATTTTTCCAAAAGAAATACAAATAGAATCAATTAATTTTTTTTTTTTCTTCTACCGCCAGTCAGAAAGTATGTATTCGTTTAACGTTAAAAGAAAGAGGGATACCAATTAAATTACTCAAAGTTAAGGAAAAAAATTAACACACAAAAGTGCAACAGCAAAGTTTTAAAATAAAAATTAAAGTTAAAAGTTAAACAACCTTAAGGGTCAAAACAATTAGAACAAAAACAAAAATCTTAAGTCCCTAAACTCAAATTAAAATTAAACAACTTCAACTCAGAACTTTTAAAAGCAACCTAACCAAAACTTAAAGTTTACAAAAGTTACAATTTAAACTTACAACCAACTTTAAACAACAAAAAAAATTAGAACTTCAATTACAAATCAAAACTGAAATAAGCAAAACAACTTAAGCTTAAAAAATATATATATATATATATATATAACGATTAATACATAACAAGAGGGAGAGAAATTATCAGTGAATTGCCTTTGCAAAAGCTCGTATAATTCCTTGAACACAGTTAATTATAATTTTATCATCAAAAGACACTGTAGATTGTGATTTAAAAAAAGAAAGAAAAGGAAAAAAAGATGTCTCCCTATGAAAAAATCAAGAAAGCTATAATCACCTGAATAAAATATGCCGGGATGCAAAATGTTGCAATTTGTACATTAGTTTTGAAGGCAAAAGTTCTTCTAACTGCTGATGAACTCACAGAAGGAAAACTTTGCAGTTGGTAATAGATGGTTTGAAAGGTTTAAGTTAATGCATGACTTAACATTAACAAAAAGCTGCCCAGGCGGGAAAGCTATTAGCAACTCTGACTGCCGTACCAAAGGGTTTGCGTTCGAATCCCGTAGAAGGCATGGATGTAAATTATCTGTCCCTTCATAGGAGGCAGTGGTAGTCTACCTGTTAGGTGCCTCCATAATAAACTGACCTCTACTTCTGGCCTTAGTAGTGGCGAACGCCTATAATGGCTAATGCCCGCAACTGGGAAAAAAAGAATTCAAGAAGAAACATCTGAATTTATCCAAAGTTCTGGACTGGAAGAACATAGTGATAAAAGAAGTATGTGAACAATATGGTCCAAACCGCATTTTTAATGTGGATGAATGCAAATATATAATCTTGGCTGGCAAAACTGGTTTTTTTTTTTTTTTTTTTTTTTTTTTTTTTTTTTTTTTTTTTTTTTTTTTCTTTCAAGAAGGAAAAATGCATCAGGATAAACTGACTGTTTTGCTGGGGTTAGTGGTGAAAAGCCGAAACCTATTTTCATAGAAAAATCAAAAAATCCCTGGTTTCTTACTGGTGTAAAACTGTTCTTAGTCATCTGTGAATGCCTACTTCTTGAAAAATTTTAGAGCTATGGGAAAAGACAGTCACGAATTTAGGTTAAAATTTTCATTGAAAGATGCAAAAAATAGCTTTAATTATTGATAACTGCATGGCTCATACCAGAGTTAAAAGTGATTTACCTACCTGTTGAGAAACCCGACAAATGATTGATTTTTATTGTCATTAGAGGGTATTTCTAAAAAAAGAAGATTAGTTTCGTTATGATGCTTGGTGAGTAAAGAAGTACTGATGGCTTCCGAGCCTTTGTTTTAGAATAAAGGATTATTTTTGTAATCTTACAGTGTAGTCTTCTCACTATGATCATCCTTATATATTATTATTTATGGCAATCAGTGCCAGCCACTTTTATCCTACTAAAGGTTCCGTAAACAATTTGCACTTTGAATATGGAATATGGTGTATTGTCTTCAATGATGTTTATGCATTGTGGTGGGCAAAATAAAAGTCTTGTGATGTGTCGCAATATATAGAATAAACAAGTAAGATTAATAATCTGCAATGAGGTAAGATTTAATATTCTTTATTCTTGAGAAATAAATCTTTATATTGCAAATTACTTCTAACTCATTTTCTTAATGTTATTAAAATCAAAAGAGAAATTTAATTAAATGAAGATATCAAGTTAATTTGAAAGAATTGTTTGAAATTGATTTTGAAATGGAACTAGCAAAGGCTGAAGAATTAGAACTTTCAGAATAGATAAATTTGAAATTTAATCAGGTATTTAATCAGTTAAGTGAAATAGATTCTGATGTTCAGAATCAAATTACGGATGTTAAAAAAATCGAAACTGAAATTATTAAGTGGGATGTGTATCATGAAAAACTGATTAATTTCATATGTCAGTTGAAGTCCGCTATTAATAAATGCAAATTAGATACACAAAATCAGAACAACTTATTTGCTTGTTAAAATTAGGAAAACAGTTTGTTAAATTACCCTCATAACATGACAATAAGAAGATTTGGTGGCGTTCTTGCCAATTGGCAAAGATTCCGAAATCAGTTTTGAATCTCTGCTACACAAAAAAAATGAAGATTTATTTAATGTAGATAAATGTAATTATATTTAGCTGAAGTAAGCCATGAATGCAGTTAAACGAATTACACTGACAAATACTAACTACGAAGACAATAGGAACCTATAAAATAAAGATTTGGTAAAAAGACTTTAGTCATTAACTCTCATTTAAATAAATTGCTGAATCTAACTGCTGTTAGGAAATGTACTGATGTTTCCCTGCTTTGAGAATTGTTAGATGATTGTGAAATAGAAGTTTGCAATATAGAAGCCTCGGGTAAATTCAGAGATTCACAGTTCTGTGTTGTGTTTCATATTGATTAAATCAACACCGCAAGATAGTGTTCTAAAGATCACTAAAAAATGCAGATTGGACGA